CTACCTGCATCGGCCCTCACCCCTGCTCCAGGCATACCCTGCTCCCTTGCCTTGTCTAGTTATTGTAATAGAATGTTTCCCTGCTGTTGCTTTTCCTAATTTGATTATCTTACCTGCTAAGTGTAAGTGCCATGAGGCCAGAGGCATCATGATTCCCTTGTTGCTAACAGGGCTTCACACATGTGTCATCGGTAAACTGTAATGAGTGAATTCATTTTGCTGACAAAATGCTTTTCCGGCTGCTCTTGATCGAGTCTGCCACTGTTAAGGGACTGATGCTGATCTGATTCCCGGGTCCCTGCCTTCCCTCCTGCGTTAGCTGTGTGCTGATGCGCACGCAGTGAGGAGCGATTGCGTTTACGTTAGTCGAAGCAGAGCAGCACCGAAGATTTGTCCGTGTGGGGGGACACACGCGCATACACAGAGTGATGGTGTTCATTGCCCAGAACAATGACTCCACTTTGGGAACCACAGGAGCTACTTTTAGGGCATATTGAAGGACGGAAGCGAAGAGCCCTGTCCACCGTGGGGTTTGGAGCTGCTCCTTCTGGCAGGCCATCTGTCCTGGGCACGGACGCAACATCACTTACGTGACTTGTTTTCTTGAAGACATTTGGTGTTCTGCTTTGTCATACTGTGCCTGGTAGTTCCGTCTAGGGCACCCCCGTAAGTCAGGCCCCGCAGATGGGACTCCGGTGTCCTCCTGTAGTTGAAGTTGTGCTGTCCTTTCGAATGACTGTCAGTGCAGAGAAGACCACGGGATGGCACTTGGGGGGCTCGCAGAGATAGAAATACAAGATTGACGTGTCTTTGGGGTTGATAGCAACATTTTATCTGGTGTTTAAAAACTCACATGTGAGTTTGGATTTGGTTTCTGGACTTTCACCTCCTCCCACTTTTCACCATTGTCCACTCATCACAATGCGCTTCTTTCAAACAGAATTTGAAATCAAGCAAGAGAGAAGGCTTCCTCCAGCTCCTTGCAGTGACCCATGTTTGGGATGGCCTGTGGGGTGCCCTCCTCATCCCAGGGCAGACGACTCCTCCAAATCCTGCCTTGCCTGCTCCTGGCCTTGCCCGCTCTGCTTTCAAGAACTGCATGCATGGCCTGTGTCGTTCTACCTTGAAAGGCCATGAGCCCCAAGAGGGCAGCACTGTCTCATCTTTCCGTCCTCAGTACTTGCCATAGAAACTCATCAGTGCTCACCCTACGCTTGATTGAAGAAAGTGACCAGCAATACAAGCTTAGTCCTTTTTTAAAATTTATTTATTTATTTATTTTAATATATTAATTTTTAAATATTTTACATCATTGTTCATTTTTAAACAATATTTGCTTCCCCCCACCCCCTCAGGTATAGTCTCCATGGAATTTCCTTCACCAGTGCACCCGTGCACCATCACCTCAGTCCCCTGTGCTCCTCCCTCCCTCTCTCTGATCCCTCTCCCTCCTCCCCTGCAAAAAAAAAAAAAAAAAAAAAAAAGCAACAACAAATGTTGGTGAGGGTGTGGAGAAAAAGGAACTCTCCTGCATTGCTGGTGGGAGTGCAAACTGGCCCAACCACTATGGAGAGCTGTCTGGAGGTTCCTCAGTCTACTAAAATTGGAGCTACCACATGACCCGGCAATTCCACTCCTAGGGATCTACCCAGAGGACACAAACACATTGATTCAAAAGAGCACCTGCACCCCTATGTTTATTGCAGCACAATTTACAATAGGTAAAACCTGGAAACAATCCAAATGCCCATCTGACTGCATCAGAAAGATGTGGCATATATACACAATGGAATATTATTCAGCAATCAAAAAAGATAAACTCATGCCATTCGCAGCAACATGGATGGAACTAGAAGGAAATATGCTCAGTGAAATAAGCCAGCAGGAAAATAGGGGAACCAAATAAGACATCAGTGTAAAAAATAACAGTACAGCACAATACAAAGCAAAAATGGACAATTATAAACTTAGTCTTTTGTTTATTAGATAGCATTGTAAGTTTTGCTTGTGAAAAAAGATCGAATGTTTTTTTTTAATTTTATAGAGGCATGTTTATTTATTTATGTATTTATTTGCTTGTTTTGTTTACACATGCACTGGGTACAGTCAGAAGCGCGGGAGGGTGAGAGAATTCACCAGAGCCAGAGCAGGGAGCAGAACAGGCAGAAGGACCGAAGTACACTGCTGAGGGGAGCAGCGGGCGGCAGGAGAGGTCTGCGCGCCATGTGGGACCCTCCTCTCGTGGCCGGGGAGCAGCCGGGGATCGAGCCGGTGCCGCAGAGGCTGCGGGCAGGTTCGCAAACCAGCGCTCAACCGCTGCGCCACCGGGGAGGCCCCAAGATCGAATGTTTTTATTTAACCCAGGAAACATCAGTTGTGCACCTGCTGTCCATGATGCCTTTGGCGAGATGGTGGGTGCGGGAGTCTCTCCCCAGCTCACTGTGAGGGCCTGAGCTCTGCAGAGGTGAGGGGGTGGCGTTGTTCCCCAGCTGAGTGGCAGTGGCCGCCAGCATTTCTCCACAGAAGCTTTCTTGGTTGTACCCTCAAGGTAGAGGTCAGGCATTCACATGCTCTGTGCCTGGCTATGCTGGTGTTTATGCTAATTAGGGTACTGACCACGGGACAGTCTGTCTGCAGACTTGTCTGTTTGGGCTCCTGGAGGGCTTTAGCCTTTGACCTAAGTGAGCAGATTATTTTGAAAATAAGTTTTTTTCTTATACAAATAACCCATCTTTATTTAAAGAGAATTGGAAAACACAGAACCGTATGAAGTGTGTTAAAACTGACCCTCTGGGGCTCACTGCTCAGAGCTTCGGGATCTCCTGTCCTTCCTTTTCAGATGTGTTTGGAGCACCTGTCAAGGGGAGCACTCAGAGACCGGAGCCTGCTCCTGTGGGGCTTACGTTCTTGAACTGAGAATAGCTGTTTTATTGCTTGATACAACAGACATGTGACATGGGGGGGTTTCAGGTGTGCCATGCACTGATTTGGTGTTTGTGTATCTGTAGCGTGATTACCACAGTAGATTAACATTCATCCCAAATAGTTAAACTTTTTCCTTGTATTGAGAGTTTTCAAGATCTGCTCTCAAGAACTTTCAAATACACACGTTACTGAAGGTGACTGAAGCCCCCCAGGCTGTTGCTTGTTGCGGTACTGTACGCGTCACACGTTCCGTCTATTGTATCTGTCACTTTTTGAACATTTAGCATGTGTACACTAGCACTCTGCCTTATCAGCTCTTTAACTCTTGCAGCGACGTAAGCGCTAAGGATGGTTTTGTCCTCTTAGGGCACAGAATTAACCTACCCCAGGGAAACGGCTAGAAGTGATGAACCATACTGTGATTCTAACCCAGGTGGACTGACGTCAGAGACCATCCTCTAACCCACTGTCGTCTGCTAATGTGCTACGCACCAGCTTTTAAAGCCAGAAAACAAACTGACTTACGGTGATGAGAATAGTGAGCTCTCGGGAGCCAAGCCTGGCAGCGTTATCACCATGGCCTGCGTGCACGGCCCTCCCACAGCAGCCCTGCCCCTCCTCATTGGCACGGCCTCTCTTTCCCGGGGCTGCCGTGGCTTACCCTTGCCTCCCCTGGGGAAGTTCTCCCCTGCTGTCCCTCTCCCCCACTGCTGACTCTGTTTTCTTTCTTTCTTTCTTTTTTTAAAGATTTATTTATTTATATAAGCACTGGGTACAGTCAGAAGCGCTGGAGGGTGAGAGAATTCACCAGAGCCAGCGCGGGGAACAGAACAGGCAGACTGATGAAGTACACTGCTGAGGGGAGCAGCGGGCGGCAGGAGAGGTCTGCGCGCCATGTGGGACCCTCGCCCGGTGGCCGGGGATTGAACCGGCACTGCAGAGGCTGCGGGCAGCTTCACAGCCCAGTGCTCAACCGCTGTGCCACTGGGGTAGGCCCTGCTGACTCTTTTCAATGATGTGATGGCTTTAAAAAAAATTTAAAAACCCTGATTTATAGCGTTAACAGTTTCAATACTGCAGATACTCCCAGTGTTCGATGTCAAGGCTGTTAGTGCCTCGTTGCTGAACACAGAGGCGGCAAGGTGATCGTGCTGGGAAGCGGTGTGTGGTAGCGCAGCATTTTACTGGCATTTCTCCTGTGACTGTAACCCTCCAGAGCGTAGGTGAGCGTGAGACGTGGTGAACACTGTCAGAGGGATGGGTTTTGAGTATTGCACTTGTTAATATAATTTAGTTGTAAACCTGCATCATTTAGTTTTTAATCATGGCAGTGTTTTACAGCCGACTTGCAGATTTCCTGAAAACGTAGCTGTCCGCTCTCACGAGCCTGTACAGTTCCAGGGCGCACAGTGAGCTTGGCGCCGGGCCCCTCTGCCAGCCCGTGTGGGGGATGCCGTCTTCTGTTCAAGACATGACCGCCGTTCCTTTCCCCTTCTGTGACGAACCACTCTGGGCATTTCCCTGATGTCCGTCTCACATCTCTTCTGTTCCCAAGGCCCTTCACCTTCCAGCTGTCCCCACACTGTCGTTCACTGTCTCGGGGAAACTGAGGCTCGGAGGATTTACATAAGTCTTTGCAGATGGCGTTCAAACCCAGATTTGCCTGGGCCCGGTCTTAACGCTCCTTGCGCTCTCCCTTTCCCGGCGGGCTCTGTTAGAGGCTGTCCGCCTTGGCTGGAGAGTGGGTGGGGGGACAGGATTTGTGGGATGTGGAAGTTTGAGTCATTGCTGCCTCTGGAACATAGAGCTTGGGAGGATTCTAATAAGCGCCTGCATCTCTGTGCCTTATCTTGTCCGCTCACTTCTTTGTCTCATCACCTCCACTCGAATTTCAGCTCATCGAGGACCGAGATCTTACTTTCAGGTCATTCGTGTTCAGTGCCTGGGCGCTCAGCGGCACGTAAGCGTCCGCAGTGTAGATGCTCCATTAGATCTTCCGTTAAATGGAACTTTTCCTAAGCGGGGCTGCCGCGAGGGGCCTTCCTAACACAGACCTGCCTGTCTTCCTTTCCTAGGGCGATTGTGTTGTCACCGTCTTGCTCACTGAAGAGGACAAAGTGGAAGATGATGTAGTTTTTTACTTGGTGTTTTCGGGTTCCTCCCTCCATCACTGCGCAAGCACGCGGAAGGTCAGTTCAGACACGCTGGAGACCATTGCTCCTGGTGAGTATTTGGCGGGAATCTCTTCTTTTTTTCCTGGTTCTCGAGCTCTTTGGAGGCTGTGACTATACTCACAGCCCTGGCGTGCTGGGACTACCGCCTCATCTGTATCTTAAGGGCAGTTTAAAATAAAAAATCTCGTTTCTGTTTTTACTTGTTCCACAAAAATCAGAATTAAGAAGTAAGTGAAAGTAAAGTGGTATCATAAATCGTGAAAGGTGTAAAAATCAGAATCAGTAAACAAGTTAATGTATTGCAATGTCGAGGCTTGGGGAACATGTTTACCCAGGTGGGTGGTTAGAGCTTCGAGTGGTGATAGTGCCGTGGCTGCAGGTGAGTCTGAGGACCCTGATGATAAAAGCAAAGGTAAAACATAATCACACTTCCTTGAGGGAAAGCCCTAAAAAGTCTTACGTAAAAGCCAGACTTTCCCAAGTTAGCAACTCATCATTTTGGTGCTGAGTCACTGTTGGATTTATGTTTGGCAGAATTTAAAGGAAAATGTTTATGGATTAAAACATTCGTTTTAATGTTTCAGTGGAGCCAGTAGTCATTCCTACTCCTCCCAGGCTCGGCTGATCCAGAGAAGACTATTAACCTACCACAACATGTGAAAATGCATTGATTTGTGTTTGGAGATGAACCTCTTTTATGGACCTTGCCACAAAGTTAACAGCTGGCCAATTTTCATCAGAATACAACAGGGGAACCCCTGAGAAATGCTGACAGTTGAAATATTTTTTAGAGGACAAGATGCACTTAGCTCTTACTGAAGCATTTCCACTTTGTTGGAAATAGATGGTATAAAAATTTTTAGTTTATGAAGCCCTTTCAACACCTGACCTTGGTGGTATTGAATCAGATTGTTGGTTTTTTGTTCCCGTGCACGCTGTTTTACATAAATTTCATGTCTGATAGCTGCCAAATTACAGAAATTTCACTATATCCAAGAACTGGGTTTATGACAATTGAAAGCTGTTCTTCCTTAGCAAAAATGATTTGGGAAATATTGAATTCAAAGATTCTTCTTTCTCCCCAAAGTTTTAGGGATGTGGAAACTAACAAGAAGTTCAAGATAGATACTGATTCCTTTTCTGAAAAGTATTAAATATCCTTCTTTATAACCCGACGCTTCAGTCGTCTTACTTTCTGAGATGTATAGCGTGTCAACGAAAGGCTTGTCTGGAACGTGAGCTCTGTGCCCCGGCAGGAGCCATCCCAAGTCAGTCACCATAGCTAAACTTTGATTTTGTGGGGGCAGTGGAGGCCCCTCACCTCTGTTGGATGAGTAGTCCCATGCCAGCTCTTTGTAGGGGGAAAAAAAACGGATGCCTCTATTAAATTTTTATAAACTTATTCCTTCTTTAAGTGGAAGTACCACAGGAGTTAAAAGATGGAGGGTGTGTGTGTGTGTGTGTCTGCGCGCGCGCATGTGTGCACGTGCATGTGTGCATGCGTCTGTGGAGAGTGTCTAAGGAGGTACGGAGGAGTGCAGGCAGTTGTCGGAGAAAGAACAACAAGGCATGGTGCCCTCTTGGCTACCCTCAGCCCCGAGTGTTGGTGGAGTGAAGCTGGGTGGAGAGGCTGTGTGTGAAGCTCTCCCCGGAGCCGCAAACTGTCACACTGTCTGGGTGGCCTGGCTCTCCGAGTTTGCACCCGTCCTCGTGTACCGCCCCTGCCTGCCTTTGGCGCTCTAGTGCCCCTTTCTGCCAGCCAGCCACAGCAGACAGCCATTCCAGACCCGAATGAGTAGTGACTCCTCAGAAATCTCGCCTGGCCCATTTGCTTGGGGCCTGGCTTTCTAGTACCTGTCTACCCCTTCATGTTGTGCTGGTCAGCTCTCCCGCCCCAAATTATTATCTTGTTCACTCCCTTTTTGTCTGTCCGCGTACGCAGTCCACCCACTTGTCGCCTTTACCCGCCCGTTGTCCTGAACATTCTGCTCCTTGAGTTCAGTCAGGCAGCTGCTGTGAAGTGCCTGATCACAGCAGAGGTGACAAAGGAAGAGAGTCCTTGAAAGTCCCTCTGTACAGGTGAGCCAGGTGAAGAGGAAGGCAGCACTTGAACCCGGGAGCCTTTGATACCATGCAAGGGTGCCCGCATGCTCCTGGCTGGTCGTTAGGAGCTCGTGACTCTGCGAGCAAGAACATTCCTGAGCAGACCCTGCATCTCTGCCGTAAACTGGACTGTCACTCGTCTCTCTGGAGGGTGAAGATAGTTTTGAATTTCTTACTTGCCTCAAGGAGTTAATATTTTAGTCTAGAGTTAAGCTGCTGTCAACCTGCTTTGGGAACGTCTTTGACTTGTCCCTTACTCTCTTTTGGTCTTTACTTAGGTGTCACCTGCTCAGCAAGGCCTTTCCTGTCCACCCCATAAAATTACACAACTTCCCCCCCTCCACATTCCCTATTCCCCTTTCCTGTTGCCCTGTTCTTCTCCAGTGCACTAACACATTATTTATTTCATTCATCTCACCTGTGTTCTTCTGGATGCCTCTATTAAAGTGTCAGCTCTGTGAGGGCAAGGGTTTTTGCCTGTTGTGGGCACTGGTGTTGTGCTAAGGTTTGTTTTAGGAATCCCCACCATTAGATGGAACAGTGTTTTCATGGTAGAAACTCCTCCTCAGTCTCAGCAGCCATTCTTCTAGAAAGGTTGTACACATGCGCACTCAGACACCTGCACCTTTTCTTTGGAAAAATACACAAGGAGTCTGGCTTCTCCAGATAGCTTCTTGGCTCTGAACAGGAGTCTGCTCCTGCCAGAGCCACCTGTGATGACCTCTGTATGTCAGGCTGGCCGTGTTGATAGCCTCAGACTTGTCTGCTGGGGCCAGAGCAGTCAGGGTTCTTTAGGAAGTCACACTTGTGCGCATCCCCGCCCCGGGTGAACGGGCACAGCTGGCTGGCGGCAGCTGCATCGGGAGGGCTGCACCCCTTCTGCTCACGTGTTCTGTCTCTTTGGCTAACTCTGGGAAGAAAAAGAGCTTTGTGTCTTGTTGTTACTTTTAATGTCACGTTTCATCCACATTGCTGGCTCTGATTTTTCTTTGAGTTCTCTGCCCTGCTCAACCGTCAGTGTTTGGTAACATTTAGTTTTTACTAAAAGCCGATGATAGATTGACCTTCAAAAGACAGTTTCTTTATATTAGCCTGTAACCTTTTATTGTTTGGGGGCAAGATGAAGCATCTCTTACTTGTTTCCTAAAAAAATTAAAAAAAAAAAAAAAAAACATAAAACCTCTGGCTTCAAAAAGACATTACCGTCCCCTTTTCCCCTGCTCTTCTCACTTTTTGCTGTTTTTCTGAGAAGTGTACCTTGAATGGTGTATGCATGCTAATTATACAGAAATTGTACAGGCTTTTCAAAGTGAATGTTTCTTGCCTTTCTACCATGAAAGGATCTAGACCCGGATGTGATTTCCCTCCTGAGAATAGAAAGTCCATTAAGGGCAGTGACATCTCAGGGATGGGGGAGGTAGGTAGAGACTTTGGCTTTCTATTTGAAGCCAAGGAATGTGCTCTCTTTTGAAAATAACACCGTCTTTGGGCTAAGAAAGGTGACAAGCACCAACAAGGCTTTCACAGGAGAAGCCCCACCATTCAAAATACCTGTGACGTAGCTGGTTTAACAGTACAGTCTGCTATGGGAGACTGTACAGTCTGCTTCAGGCTGTAACGGTACAGCCTGAAGTGGGAGTGCCTCTCCAGTTGGCAAAAGGCCTCGCCTGTGTGATAGATGAACCTGAAATATCTATTCTTTCTTTGAAACAAGTCCAACCCCAAACCCCATTTTAATTAGACAGTGATTTTTCTCTAGAGACAAAATAGCTATTTTTAAAAAAGACCTATTTTGGACTAGTAAGTAATGTCAAGAAATCTGAGTACTGTTGGAAAAGGATTCTTGGGGGAATCTGGAGCACTGTCTTACCGTACTGTGTTTGTATGATTACTTGAGATGTGAATTTAGAAACAAACACTGATTCCAGAATGAACAATGAAGACAGGGTGTTCAGAGGATGCTGCATACTATTTTTGTGAAGGCTTTAGGTCAGAATTTCCTGTACAATGAAGTCACTTTTCAGCATGCTTGTTTTAGAACTCACAGAAATAGTTCTTATTTGATAGGAAAACTACGTTCGTGGACCCCAAATTTGACTCAGTTCTTTAGTATCTTTTTTTCCCCTCTCTCATTAAAGGGAACTGTGTAAAGTTGATTGGTTATTAAAAAAAAATTAAAGGAACAAACAACCGTCATTTACCATTATCAGAAGCCCATACGGGTTTAACTAAAAATCACAGCTCACAGCCCAGGCCTCACAAGCAGCCCTGTAGTCCGTCACAGCAGGTCCCCATCTTTGTGAACCACACAGTTCCCAGCAGGAGATGTCCAGGGGTCGCCAAACTGAAGAATGCATTTGGAAAAAAAGGTGTAGGCTCTTTCCTGGCTGAATCAGAGAATTCTCCCTCTCCCCCAATGTAATCAGTTTTTTTTTTTTTTCCCCTTACATTTTCTAACAAACTCCCTATTCTAAAATACTCCTACCATAAGGCTGTCTGTAGGCAGACAGGATTTTATATTTTAAAATACTTACGTGACCAAAACAAACAAACAAAAAAAAAACCCCAAAAAACTTACGTGACTACCCTGATGCGCGTTCTGTGTATATAGTGGTTATTCTGGAAAACCTGAGAACTTGTTCCCTCTTGTCCCAGCTGTGAGGGTTACGTGGTAATGGCGTCTTCCGTCACCTTGGAACCACAGACACTGTACTGGTCCCTAGCTTGTGCATTACAACCAGACACTGTCCCCGCCAAGGGATGACAGTGGACTCTCAGGAGTGTAAAAATATGTGTATAAAAATTTCATATGCTTGAGGGGGTGGAGGATAGAGAGAAATGCTTTGAAAGGCTCTTTGGGGGGATGAAGTGAATGAAAGGTTGAGAAACACTGCCTTGAGTCATAGGCTGGAATATTGTAGATCATTAGACTTCTCTTCCCCTGCTGTTTTCCCCTCTGCGCAGAGATGCTGTCCATGCACACCGAGCTTCCCCTCTGCCACTGGGCCAGCGCCCAGGGTCGGTGGCAGCACTTCTGCACACACGTCCCCCCTGGCAGAGTGTGGGCCTGAAGGTCCAAAGTTTCCTTTTAACCCCATAGGGCTTTAAAGAGAAGAGAAAGACCAGGTTCTAAACTGCTGAGATGCCAAACCGAAGTGCTCAAAGATACTGTTTATTTGCCACCCTTGGGTGCTAAGGAAGCCCTGCCCCCCTCTAGATGGCCTGTGTGGGATGGGGTGTGTCTGGCTAGCAAACACTTTTCAGGGTTCCCTTTGGATTGCTGGTGAAACAAAGTCCCAGTTGTTCCGTCCTCAAAAGAGAAGGCCCGGATGGGATGTGTGCCACTTTTAGCTTAATAGGAAATGAAGTAATTCTTGGGTCATGCTTCACCAGTTTTGTTTATCTGTAGCAATATTTCGTTTCCATGGGAACAGGTGCTTCATATAGTGATAAGCAGCCTGCAGAAAAGCTCTCCCAGCCTCCTGAGCACACACATACCTTTTGGCCTGGAGCTTAAAAAGGCTTGGAGTAGACATTGTCAAGAGGCCCTTTAGCGGTAAATGTTTGTTTCTCACCTAGGTGTTCCTGGTTGCTTTTTGGTTTATTCTGAATTCTTAACCTCTTCCTCCCCTGCCCCCCACCTTCTTAGATATCAAAGGCACCCTTAGCGCGGCCCCCCCCCCCCCCCCCCCCGTATGCAGCAGAAAGTAAAGTGCTGGGGCGGTGGGGGAGGGGGGGGGCTGTTTCCCTTGAGTAACCTGGGTAAGGGCATTTTGAGAGCTAATAACCGTAGCTCTCCCATCACTGTTTTATGCCAGCTGCTTTGTCTACAGCTCGGTCTAACATTTTCAACAGATTGGAAGATGGGTGGCGTTCTCATTTTCTGCCTGAGGAAACAGGCTTCAGTGTTGAGGGACTTTCTCAGGATAACCCAGCCAGTCTGCAAGGGAGGTAGGGAGGTGGGTTTTTAACTCTACAGCTAATTAAGCACTAGCCTAATTCAGGACCCCTCACCGTTAGGACCAGATCTGTGTCACCTCGTGATTTACTTTATATTTTGTCGTGAACTGGACTTGACCGTGGCAGAAGGCAGTTTAAAATGTGGACTCAAGCTGTAGGCCGTGTTCCTTTCACGGTTTCTCTCTCTTCTTTCCCTCTGTCAGTCTGGGGAGTTTCCTTCAGAAGAGCCTCTCTAAGTTTTCAGAACTTCCCTTTTAAAAAGGCGTGATATTTTCCTTCCTTGTTACCAGGAAGTCAAGTGGAAGGAAAGTCACCATGGAACTAACTGAAACCCTTGCTGCTCTTTGTTCTTCTGCAGCTTCTCTTTTCAAGAAAAAGAAGTTAAATCTTGGTAGCCCCAGCACATTGGACGTGGCTTCCAAGCGCAGGTTCTTCACGCCTGGTGTAGACATTGTTACCGCCTTGTGGGCTTCCCCGCTCCGCGGCTGCTGACTCCTGCGAGTCGTCTCTCTGGAGCTCATTTGTGGTGGTGAAATGCTCTGTGTGCGCATGTGCAGCGCTTATTGCTTGGTCCATATTACATGACCTTTGCTGTGAACATGTTGATCCCTGCCCCCCCCCCCAAGTGCTTTATCTGAAAAGCTAGAAGGATTAAAAAATAATCTTGAGAACCACTTAAACCTAAGAAAAAACATGAAGGGGAGCAAGTAGCTGGTTTCCAGGCAGGAGGGAGGCCCCAGGCCTCAGTCATGGCCCCCCTGGTTTGCTACAGACGCGTCAGGGAAACCCTCAGCATCGTCTCGTTCAGCCCTCAGTTTCTCTTTTGGAAAAGAAGCCCATACTCACACCGGACAAACTCCAGATTTGTGGCATGTTTTACTCAGGATGATTCATCGTTTTTCCTTTAGATAGTGAGTTCACTTCTGAAAATACTGGCCTAGTTGGATGGCTTCTGTTTCATGGCTGTTTGTGACATTCTACCTCCTCTAGTGTGTTGCTTTATTTTGGTTATACACAGAGCTCACAGGCACTCCCTCATGTCCCTATGCACTTCCTAACGGGTTTTTCCGCCAAAGTTCCAGAAATAAGCCTACCTGTACTGCTAATAAGCGCATGTGCAAACACATACACCCCGACATGTCTCTCCTCTTTGTTCCCACCCCATGCTGTCCAAGTAAACAGCCACTTTAGCAACTTCAGGTGGACTTCTTAACTGTACTTTCTAGCGTTTAAGCAGGTATGGCTCCATGGTGGTGTTTTGCTCTGTGTGTGTGCATGTACGTGTGTCACAGAGTGAGGCACACACATTGCATTTGAACTCTCCAGGTCAAGGTGAAGAGCCTTGGGGTGGGAGAGTTGGGAGCGGGGCCAATGCCTGTGTTGAGATCTTGCACTGTCGCCCAGCCCAGACCTTTGGCCTCTGACCTGAATTTGAATAGGTTTCTGTCTTAGTATCTGTGTGGCCTTGAGCAAGTGACTTGACTTCTTGAAGTCTTGGTTATTTCTTACGTAATGTGAGGGCGGTACATACCTCATAAATTGGTTGTATAAAGAAAGTGGCACATCAGTTGCCTGGTATGTAGAAGGTCCTAGGTTAGTAAATGCCGTCACCTCCCTAGAATTAGGGAGAGAACAGTGAGAGAGCATAATGGGTGCTAGGAGGCCCCTCAGAGAGTATGTGGAAAATCAGTTTGCTTTTGTTCTTGTCGGCCCCATGAGAAATAATTACTGTTTTCCCTTTTAAAGACAGCAGGAAGCTTAGTTAGTTTTGCCCATGTCTGGAACCTCTGGGCCTCTGCCTTGGTGTGACAGGTAGTAGATTCATGGAACAGTAGAGGGTGGCCTCCACCTGGCTCCGTGCCAAGGCTGGCTCTGCAGGAAGTGGGTACAGGGAAACCAAGGTGTCCAGAACAGATTGTTGATTGTGCAGAGCACTGGATGCCTTAATGCAAGTCACAGAAACATCAACTCCGTTTTCCTCATCAGAAAGCGCAGTGATGGTTAAGTACGGACTTCTGCTAGTGGAGGGCAGGGTTGGAAAGCTGAGGGAAGGCAGTGGGTGTGTGTATTCTGCGTTTTGGGGACACTCAATTCATTGAGTCTTAGTCCAGAAAGGCCTAGCCCACAAAAACAGTGGTGTTAAACTTGCCTGATTTTATCAGGTGGGGCTCTCTGGGGACTTGCAGGTTGCTGCCTAAAGTGGTAGCCTCATCACCCAGCTGGTCTGTGGGCTCCCAGCCTTTGACTGGCTCGTTTCTCCTACACTAGCTTCTTTTTTATTTTATTTTTTTTAAAAGATTTATTTATTTATTTATTTATACGAGCACTGGGTACAGTCAGAAGCGCGGGAGGGTGAGACAATTCACCAGAGCGGGGAGCAGAGCAGGCAGAAGGACCGAAGTACACTGCTGAGGGGAGCAGCGGGCGGCAGGAGAGGTCTGCGCGCCATGTGGGACCCTCCTCCGGAGGCCGGGGAGCAGCCGGGGATCGAACCGGCGCCGCAGAGGCTGCGGGCAGCTTCCAACCCAGCGCTCAACTGCTGCGCCACCGGGGAGGCCCTGCACTAGCTTCTTTCCACAGCGTCACAGCGTCCTTGTGTGAACAGGCATCTTCACTGAAGTCCTTGTCTCCTTACAGGAAGGAACGGGCATCTGAGCGCAGAAGTTCTTTTGTGGGCCTTGAGTTGCAGTTAATGAGAAAATAAATATCAGTTTTGTGCTTTTCAAAGTGCTTCATCTCTTTTGACTGGTGACAGTGTGGTGCTGTTGAGGCACGTGCTGGGGCCTCTGTGAAATCCCTCCCGTCTCGCTGGGGTGCCTTGTCCCCACTGGTCTTCAGCTCGAGCTCAGTTCAGCAGGTCGTTGACGTCCCGCTCCATGCTCGTCTTACAGGACCCCCGAGCTTCCATTCTTTAATAGGTTCCGTTGAACAGCTGCAGTTGATATTCAGAGTCTACTCAGTGCCAAATGCTACTCATGGCCATGGTGACAACTGGGTTACCCGACATTTGCCGTTTGCTGAAGGAGCTAATTCATATTTGCAAGTAGCAATAGAAGGAGCTGGAACTGGGGCTTTCAGGAGTTTGGAAGGTTGCTCCTTCAGAGCTTTCAGCTGGAAGGGTCCCTTTGGGAAGGGGATACCTGTACATGGTGTAGGAGGAGCAAGGGGACCGTCCGCGCCCAGCTTGGCCAGGAGAACTCTCACCCTGTCGTCTTGCTCACGTGCTTTCTGCAGGTCACGATTGCTGCGAGACGGTGAAGGTGCTGCTCTGCGCGTCCAGGGAGGGCCTGCCTGTGTTCGTCGTGGCCGAAGAGGACTTTAAGTTCATCCAGGATGAGGCCTACGATGCGGCCCAGTTCCTGGCAACCAGCGCTGGGAACCAGCAGGCCCTGAACTTCACCCGATTCCTTGACCGGTCAGGGCCCCTGACTGGGGATGTGAATTCCCTTGATGAGAAGGTGGCCCTCGCCTTCAGACACCTGAAGCTGCCCGCCGAGTGGAATGTGTTGGGGACAGACCAGACTCTGCCTGGTAAGAACTTAAATGACCTACAAACAAATTGGAGTTTGTTGAGCTCTAACCAGGCCGCTGCCGTATAGTCAGACTCCCCATCTGCCGCCATGGCTGAAGGAAAGTGGCCGTTATGTGGCTGTGTGGCCTTGATGGCAGGTCTTCATCCCAGGTGTTGAAGCTGTCCTTGCAGTGTGGGGGCCAAGAGCCAGCGAGCGCAGTGGTCATCTTCAGCTTGCCCTTCAGGGCAGAGTGATGCTCGTCTTGTGGGGTTTGCCTTATAGGCTTCTTTGCCTTGGGGGCATGGCTAGTGAACCCTCCTTAATGAGGGGAGTAGCAGTGACTTTATTACCTTTCTGGTGTTTGACTATCAAAGACTGTGAGCTCATTAGTGTGTTCCGAAGTTCTCTGGAGAGTGCACGGGGTTGGAGGAAAAGGAAGAGTGGGTAGTGGGGGGCACAGGAGCAGGATGAGCTCCGAGAACCCCACACTTTTAAAACCAGAGTACTTTTGGAGTACGAATTCACTGAAGGAAGGGCCCCACTTTTTGAAAAATACTGAGGGAATAAGTGTGTTCTCTGTATGTTCCTCTTAAGTGTACAGGGGGTTTCCCACTTAATTATTCTTGTAACAAATGACATCAGATGTCATGATTTTACATAAATATTTAGGTGAAACCTTGTATAACCTCTGGGTTCAGTAAATACCACTCCACATCAAATCCAGTTGAAAGACAGGAGGGGTTCCACAGATTGAGGTCAGCTTTGTTCCTGACGAAACTGGATTGGAAGGCTGGTGCTGAGCCTCTTGTCTGAGGGTTTGCTTAACATTTCTACCTTACCTCGGAAAGGGCTGGACAGTTGCAGGATTGCCCCGCAGCGTCCACTGGCTGGGGTGATTGTGTGCAGTGGAGAGAGCAGATCTGAAGTCGCCGAGAGGTGCCTGAGCTGGGGGCATTGCTTGTTCCGGCTCTCACAGAACCATCAAGGAAATTGATCCTTCCTCCGGGGAAGAGGCTAAGGAGTGGTGGTTTTTTAAAATCCACTGAGTGTAGCAGTTAAGGCTGTGATCAACCAGAAGATGAACTCCCTGACTGTTGGGGTTCTGCTTTCACCATGCTGCTGGTCACTACTGCCCAGGTCAAATATGAAAAGAAACGGGGACCCCAAAGTAAAATCAAGGAAAAAAGCATTATCCTTTGCTTTTTCTTAGATAGTGTCCAAGAAACCTCTGCATTGCTATCTCTGGAGATCGGAATAATTGCCTCTGTATAGGACGGAGACCTGTTCAGAAACTAATGTTTACTGCGTGTGTGTTGGTATGGGAACAGTCTTTCTGGTGGCCAATTTATAACTTAGTCTGGAGATGGATTGTGTTATTTACTAGTGGGACGTAAGGTGGTTTTATAGTTTTGTCTTGTTTAAAGAAGACACAGGAGGAGTAAAAAAGTATTTAAAGTATTTTTTGCCAGGAGTAAAAAAGTATTTAAAAAATCTCAGGTCTGGAACCTCAGGCATATCACTTCCCTCACTGGGCTTTAGCTTCCTTGTCTTCAATAGAGAACTGGCCAGTTTTAATATTTGGTGGTTCTTAAGTTTCTACTTTACAGAATAGCTCAAGCAACATTAATAGAAAAACTAAAATTAAAAAAAAAAAAAAACAACAAGCATTGACAAGGGTGTAGAGCAACATCTCATACTTTGCCAGTGGAAATACAAAATTATAGAGCTAGTCTAGAAAACGGTATTGGCAGTTTCTTAAAAAGGTCAGTTCATATTTACTGTATGACCCAGCAAACCCACTTCTGGGTATTTATCTAAGAAAAATGAAAATTTTTATTTACCTCAAAAATCTTTACACATCGGTGCCTGTAATAGCACTATTCATAATCATCCCCGAATGGAAACACTCCAGATTGCCCTGTCTGGGTGAATATGTAAGTAAACTGGCATACACATAATGGCATACTACTCAGCAACAAAAGAGAACAATTGATATGTGCAGCAACTTGGATGCGTTTTTAATGCATTGTTCTAAAGAAGTCTGTTTTCAAAAGTTACTTAATACGTGATTCCACTGACGCTATTTTGAAAAGGGCAAATTGTAGGAACAGAAAACAGGTCAAAGACTAGGAGTGAGGGTAAAGGATGGCTAGTAAAAGGTATAATCGCTTGGGTGTTACAATTGTTTTGAAGTGTATGGTCATTATCTGTGTTCAAATTCATGTACACCCCCCAAAAAAGTGAATTCTATTATGCATAACTTAAAAATACCTGAAAGAACAAGAGAAATTGAGCAAGGTGAGTGTATACTTTGCAAGTTGAAATGCATACAAGCTGCTTGATAGGTCCTGTTGACTTTAAGTTCACACCTGGCATCAGGAATCTGATTTCAAGTGCTAGGTGCACATTCTGCAGTTGAAATTGTTCCACTAATTGTGGATTAGAGTCTAGGAACACTGGGTATTTTTAGAGGAGAGTAGCATTAGTTGAAAGGTGGGTGCTTGCTGTTGAGAGAAGAATGTAAAGGAACAGTTTGCTCACATAATATACTATCTTAAGGATATTTGAAGGGAGAAGGAACAGAGAAAACTGTTGACTGGGATAATGATGCAGGTAAATGGGGCACTCGTTACATAACAGGACTGCTCGCTGTTGAAAGGAAAGCTTGGATGGTTACAGGTGTTCCAGCCTAGTGCTCATACAGAGGAGTCTGGTAAGATTTGTGTCTCTTCCTCCCACCCTTTGTTTAGATGCACTGCTTTTTAACTTTCTTCAGGTCACTGATTCCTTGGCAAGCCGTTCAGAGTTTGCCTTAGGAAAAAAAAAAAAAATCCACATATGTGCCCACCTGCAGAAGTGTGCATAGTACTTGTGCACCCAGTCTCCCTGGACACCGCAAGTGTGAGGGTGAGACCAAGAACTCTTGCTTTAGGTTTGCTGCTGTGAAGTAACAGCGTAGAGAGTAGAGTCAGACATTGTTTTGGTTTTGTTTGAAAGATTTATTTAAAAAGAAAAAATATTTATTTATGCAAGAACTGGGGTATAGGTCAGATGCGCAGGAGGGCGAGAGGATTCGCCAGAGACAGAGCAGGGAACAGAACAGGCAGCCTGAATGAAATACACTGCTCTGGGGAGCAGTGGGTGAGACAGGAGAGGTCTGCCGCGCCTTGTGGGTTGCTCCCTGGCCAGCTGGGAATCTAATCCGCACTGCAAGAGGCAGCGGACGGCTTCACAGCGCGGCACTCAACCCGCTGCGCCACTGGCGAGGCCCCCAGACATTGGTTTTTATCGTGGGCTCCTTGCAAGAGTTTGTGCAGAATACTTAATCCCTCTGTTTCGTGTTCTTCTATAAAAATGGTGGGAAATCTACCTGGATAGTGTGTGCTAGATGGCAAGCTGCTCATTCGTAATGTGTCTTGACCCTGTCCAGTGACCTTTCAGAGACAGTGTGGTGAACTGCGGTGGTAGAAGGGCCTGTGCTGGGGGGCGGCGGGCCAGGTCAGCTCTGTACTGACAGGCTCTTCCAAGCAGGATGTCACCGTTTCACTTTTGCTTTTACTTCTGAAGTGAATCCTCATTTCAGCATGCATGGGAGGGAGTTTGCCCATTCCCGAGTTACACGAAGCTCTTTCTACACTGTGCTTCTTGCTGTACTTCTGCCTTAAATGCAAATAACAAGCATTCATCCGGGGGAGGGTGGTGGGTGGAGGAAGGTGTCTTTCTTCCCTCTTCTTACGAAGCCCCACATAGTGGTCTCAGCGCCTCAGTGGTGAGTAAAAATAGTGAACTAGACTGGTTTTCCCCTGGAAGGTCTTCAGGTTTAGAGCGAGTGAGGAACCCTGGGGGCAGCCTTCACTCTTAGTCAGCGTGATATTGTGCAATGAAAGGATAAGAAGATCTGATCATCTTTGGGGGTGGGGGTCCTCCCCCTGAAGAGAAAAATCAGGGGAGAGGAGGGCAAGGTGGGTTAAGGAGAGGCTAAGAGCAGCGTGCATCCTCGGCTGTCCCCGTGCGAGGTCACAGAACCTCCATGTGTGCGTCCCCACACCCCTTCCAGACTGTTTGATGGCTTCCCAGGAAAGGTTTCCCTCAGCCACACTCACTAGTATTTGTGTGTTTTTTCTAGCTATCATAAGTACTAAAAAAAAAAAAAAAAAAAAAAAAAGGGCCTCCCCGGTGGCACAGGGGGTTGAGCGCAGCACTGTGAAGCTGTCCGCAGCCTCTCCAGTGCCGGTTTGATCCCCGCCGGCCACGGAGCAACCCACATGGCGCGGCAGACCTCTCCTGTCTCACCCGCTGCTCCCCTCAGCAGAGTATTTCAGTCAGGCTGCCTGTTCCGTTCCCCGCTCTGGCTCTGGTGAGTCCTCTCACCATCTCGCACCTCTGGCCTGTACCCCAGTTTTTGTCTAAATAAAATAAAATCTTGAAAAAAAAAGAAAAAGGGAAAACAAGAAAATAAAATGACCACTAAGCGACTTTGTTTCTTGGAGGAAGTTGTTAATACTCCCAACCCCATGACAAACAGCTCCTTGGAATGGCAGCCCTTTGGCTCAGGAGCTTTCGTTGCCTCTCAAACCTTGACTCCGTCACCAGGTTCCAGATGTCATTTTTCCGGTAACCATTGCTCACACCGGCCTCCTCTTCCCCCTCCCCGGGGTGAGTCTTCCTGCCTCATGCGGGACTTCAGGTTTGTTTAGGAGGCAGGGCGAGTGGTGGGAGGAACCGTGGTTTTCGAGTCCTGGTGATCCGAGCTCAGCAGCACTGTGCGCAGGCCCTGGGTGGACCGCTGGGGCAGGAAAGTACACGCAGTGCTGGCCACTGGGCTCAGGAGCGCTTTGCTTAGTCAGAAGATCTGGCAGGGTGGAAAGATGTGGCGAGCGGGTTCGCCTAGGGACGTTCACTGGGCGCGGTGTGCTCCGCCGTCTGAGGGCACGTGTGTGGGAGGTGCTTCCGGCCCAGAAGTAGACAGCATGGGACTGAGGACAGTGTCTGTGCCTTCGCTGTGGGTAGAGGCTGGGCTGACAGAGAGATCTTTCCAGATAGGGTTAAACAGGAAAACCAGCCACCAACCAACATGTGTCTCCTGAAATAAACTTGCAGCATAAAGGAAGTGGAACAGTTTTCAGGTGAAGAGTCCCCGAGTATAACTTTCTCTAAGAAAAATTGACTCAATAGTTTCCATTTGTCTTTTAAAAGATGAGTCGGGCCCTTTATGAAATTAGAGAAGCAGCGACATGCAGGAAATAGGCTTGATGAGCATGTCAGTCAGGGGGCGCCGGAGAATTCGAACAATAGGGGAAATGCAACCAGCATTACAGCAATGGCTGACATGACTGTGGGCGCTGGCTGCCGAGCAAGGCCAGAAAGCATAGTGCCCGTGAGGAAGGGGACATCAGGGCCGAGCTCAGACCCGCTGTGTGGCCCCACTGTGCGCCTCTGCCAGTCAGGAGGGGAGGCCTGAGCAGAACGGAGCTCCCCAGGCACAGACTCACACTGTCCCCACTGGCCTGGCTTCTCTCTCCAGGGAAAAACCTCAGCCCTGCTTCTGAAGCCTTCCAGCTGATTCAGTTAGGGCTACCCAGATTATCCAGGATAATCTTCCTTATTAAATCAGCTGATTAGGGGCTTTAATTACATCTGCAAAAAAGCCATCACAATGAGGGCAAAGATGGAAAAGCAGTTGGCTGGAGTGATGCAAGGACATTCAGAATGCCATAGCATAATTAAATTCAAATTGGGGACAAAGGACCTAATTGACATCATCGGAAATGCAGTTAGTGATGTGAAAAACAAAGTTGAGTAAGTCTGAGAACAGAGGAAAACGACTTAGGGCTTTGCAAGAATAAAAATGCAGAGACTGAGGGTAGGAAGCGGAGATTGGCCCTCGAGCTCTGAACTGTGGAGGGTGCAGGGCGCCGAAAGCAGCCCCGGCAACACCAACCATGTGTCGGAGAGAACAAATGCCTTTAAAATGATACGTGACCCCAGAAACTGTACTTCTGTCTTGGTTTCTTTATCCTTCATACCTTGGCTGCGTATCCCACACGCCTAACAGCACACGGGACCCCTGTGAAGATCAAACAGAAAATGTGTGCAAGATGAAACAGAGGCTAGTTCTCCTGCATGGGTGTGTTTCTGCAGTGACTTTCTTTGCAGTGCACTGCCGCCTTGGGAGGCACTTGAGACCTTGTGCTGAGTGAGAGAAGCCTTACACAGGAGCATATATTGGCTGGCACCAGTTATAAGGCATTCTAGAACATGTGGAACTACTCTCTGGTGAAAAACTCACAACAGTGGTTAGCTCTGGGGATGGGCAGGGCCACTCCTGGGGAAGTCTGGATGTCATCACGTTCTGGGTTTGATAGAGGTTTGGGTTACGCGGGTGTGTGCGTTTGTTAGAATTTGTCAGTGGTGGAGGGAGCCATTCACAGGTCACATGATGTGAATCACCTCAAGTCATAACCGTATATTGATCTCCAGTTAACGCTGTGCGTGCTGGGGTGAAGGGACATGAATGAGCAGAGGGGAAGGGTGATTACACAGACATGGGATGGAGCAAATAGAGAAAAACATGAATTACAGGATCTAGGTTGGTTGGTGGTTGTGGCATTCTTTCAGCTACTGTGCACATTTCAAAGAGTTGATAAGAGAATGTTGGGGGGGAAATGCGAGAAGGCACTCTTTAAACCAGAACATTAGCTTGCCCGCATGATTGATTTTCACAAAAGAGGCAGGATGGGGTGTTGCTAAGAATATGGTTTTGAGACTTAAGGTGGAAGGACTTTTATTTATTTTTTAAACTTTCTTTAAAAAAAAAAAAAAAAGATGGAAAAGCAGTTGGCTTTTAAAAAGATTTATTTATTTAAGCATACAAGAACTGGGATACAGGCCAGAGGTGGTGGTGGAGCAGGAGGAGGTTGAGAGGATTCACCAGGGACAGAGTGAGAGTAGAACAGGTGGATCTACTGAAATACACTGCTGAGGGGAGCAGCGGGCGAGACAGGAGAGGTCTCCTGCGCCATGTGCGTCACCTCCCTGGCCGGGGATCCAACTTGTACCGCAGTAGCTGTGGACAGCTTCATAGTGCTGACACTTAACCCCTTGCGTCACCAGGGAGGCCCAAGAATTTCAAAATCCTGGTTCTTGCTGTCTTCAGCTGAAAAATAAGGATAAGGAGACTTTGTGGGGCTGTTGTGAGGATGAAGAGCTGTCGTGAACATCTTAGCTCTGTGTGACGCTTACATCTGCTGTCTGCAGAAAGGGGTGGCCTCAAAGCAGAGGTGGTGCCTGCGCTAACCACCTTCAGACGAGATGGGGGAGGATCCAGGTGTGGAGTAGGAGAGCCAGGTCTGAGCAGGTGCCTGGCCCTGTTACGAGAACTGTGCTCCCAAAAGCGGAGCTGGCCCCGAGCAAGTAAGGGGCCAGAAAGGGTGGAGTGTAGGGGAGGTCTCACCTACTCATGCCAGAATTAACCAGACTAAAAATAGACACCACTCCTGGTCAGAGCCTTGCTTTTCTGTGCCCGATGCGGATGTCCAGGCGCCTGTGAGCAGCTGCACGGCACAGGGCAGATGGTGTTTTGATCTTTTGTGAAGGTTCTTTCTGTCCTTTTATTGGGTCTTAACCACCTGCTCTGAGGTGTTGATTATTAAAATTTATATTTGCACATGTAATGGTTTCTCTGGGATGCTGACTTCTGCCCAGCCCTGTGCCTCTGCTGCACACCCTATAAATCGTGAGCTGGTTGGTGTGTGTCATTCTGTAGGGAAAATGTAAAATAGGAAAGATAACTTTTGCTTCCCGGAAATGTATGTTGGCAGTTGGGAGACTGGACGCCAGTGACCCTTGAAAACAGTGCAGTTCAGTGTAAAAGCACAAGTTCAAAGATGCATTCGCTCTTACTGTGGGGTGTGGGGACAACAGAGTGTGGCGCCAACACTGGGGCCCGGCAGTCTGAGGAAGCTCCCAGAAGAGGCAGCTCCGAGGCAGCCACCGAGGAGAGGGCTCCCTAAGCTGAGAGGCAGAGGCGGGCATGGTGTGGGGCACCTTCCCTTGCAGTCTCGTCTGGGCCCCCTGTTGCCTGAGGACTGCGCAGCCCCCTGGGGCACGTCTCAGTGCAGTGGTTCTCGCTCCGTCCTCAGAGGTCGGCACAAAAGGATGCCCGAGGACGAATGAGTGTTGCCAGCGCGCCCAGCCTGTCATTTGACATCCAGGAGGAGAGCAGGGAAAGGGAAGGACATTGGCACTGAGGGGCACTTTTTTCAGCCACTCCGCAGGCGGGCCTTTTACCCCCGCTCTCCCTGGCGGGCGGTGATGGTGCCGGCTCGGGGCGTGGAGACAGTGACACTCAGAGAGGTCAGAGGAAGAATGCCCGGGCCCGGCCCTTCCTCCTGCCACCGCTTTCTGAGTGACCCACTGTGATTGAGGGGCCTTCCCCTCAAGTAACAGAAGCCCAGGCACATGCTTTTATTTCTGAAAGTATTAGTGCATCATCTTAGAGGGAGTCTTCTTTATTATGCCTGGAGTAGCATTTCTTTCTTTCATTTAGCACACACACAAAGCCGGCAGCTTGATTTGCCCTTAATGTGGGGAATAAAAAGACCGTGCGTGCTTGACAAGCAGAACCTGTTTTTAGCGTTTGGCTGGCCAACTCCTGTCTGGGTGTTATTATTTTTTGAAGTAATTATGCCCTTTTTGATACACCCATCTAAGCCCAGCAATCATCCACCTGCGGTCCCCATATCGTGAGGCTGCTTTCACTTCTATTTTTTTATGTTTGTTTTAAGGAGAAGACAAATGTGTGGAGTCACCCCGTGGACCTGCTTTTATGACCTGGCTGCATGAATACATTGAGTCAGAGTCTAGAGAGGGCTGCTTCCCTTCCCCTCTGTGGGGCCTTCTCCCCCTGGAGACTTTGCTGCCCCTGCTTTTTTCTAGCTGTGCCTCGTCTCAGAGCTGATTCTTCTCGGCCACAGTGAAGTTGTCCACATAGTACGTTGTGGTTTGATAATCTTGGGATCTTAGGTACCTGCAAGTAGAGGTGTTTTTCTGACCTGCCTTTCTGTGGTTTGCTTTTTGTTTTTCCTTTCCCCTTGCTGATTTTCATTTCTACCCCCCTGCAGATGGCGCCCCCCGGGAGACATTGATGCATTTTGCTGTGCGGCTGGGACTGCTGCGGTTGACATGGTTCCTCCTGCAGAAGCCGGGAGGCCGCGGAGCGCTCAGCATCCACAACCAGGAGGGAGCGACCCCCGTGAGCCTGGCTTTGGAGCGGGGTTATCACAAGCTGCACCAGCTGCTAACCCAGTAAGTGCTCTGCTCCCTGTTCCCCATCTCAGGCCACCAGCCCCACCCCCTGGTTCTTAGTGCCGCCCACTTGGCAATTCAGTGTCACTTTGCCAGGAATTAAAACCTCAGCTCCGTGCCCTGCCTTCTGCTGGAGGGTTATACACGCTTGCTCCTGCTAACCCCTTCGTTGTCTGAGAGAGACGAACGTAAGTTATATTGCCACTTTCTCTCTCCTCTGCCTCCCTGCCTTCATTGCTTCTTGCTGCTTATATTTTCCTGAAACCCAGGAATCTTGTCTGTGGGGGTAGCATTCCATTACCATTATGTCCAGTTTACCCTGGTTTGGTGCAAGAGGAAACAGTTTTTCTGTGCCATATATTTTTTCTGGTGTGTCTTCATGACTTGAAGGGGTATTTGCTAATGAATACTTTAATATGATAATTGTGTGTGGAAGATAGGCTGAGGCTCTGAATGGCATTTCTATGAACAAAGTGGAAAGCCTTGGTTTCTTCATGTGAGTAGTTGTCCTGGCAGTGTGCAGGAGGAAATCCTGTCCGTGTGTCTGTGGGTTCACTTGTTACACATTCTGAGTCTTCAGAGACTCTTTGAGGGAGGTTGTTAGTCGAAACGTGGGAAGACTTCTTTCCTCTTGTGTGGAGAAATAAATGCATGGCAACAGCCAAGAGTTTTTGTTGGAATATTTATAACAGGCAGACATTTCAAGTTTAGTTTCTCTTGCTTGATACATTTTTTATTTTATGGTCTTCATCATCTTTTCTGACATATAATCTGACATGAATAAGCCTCACTGGATCCACAGTTTACAGCAATTTAGGGGTGCTTGTCAGTTCAGCCGTGAGAATATGATATTCCCAAATGCTCAGGTATTTGGCTGTACCAGACTTACTTTAGTTGCATTAATTATTTTTTCTTTTACCATTTTTAGGGGTGTGTGCGGTGAGGGGGTGGGGGGGATAGGTTCAAAGGCCAAGTAGGGATCTCAGAATGTAATGCTATTTGCTGCTATTTAATTTATTTATGTATATATATTTATTTTTCTTCCTGTGCCAAGTTTATTTCTTTGCCAGTCAAGTCAGACAGAGTTCTTTGCGCTGGCTTTTCTGATGGGTTGTGCAGATATGGTGAGGCTAGGAGGGCCATATCTCATGTGAGCCTTGGATACCTGAGCCGGCCTCTGCTGCTATTCCAGAGAGGGATAGGTTCCCCTCCTTCCTGCTTCCCATCTGGCCAGTGGCGGATTCATTGTGCTGTGTGCCTCAAGCCCTAGGCAGAAAAGTCTTGTTCTAAAGGCATCAGCTGGTGTAACTATGGTGAAGCGCTGGGTGGTTGCAGTTCCTCTCAATTAGTTCTAACTCATCCTCTTGCTGGGAGGCATCATTGGCGAAGGGTTGCCATCCAAACGGCAACCAAAGGGATTACAACAGCCTCACTCTGTGCTTGGTGAGGGTGTCACAAGACTGTGTTGCAGCACAGCTTCAGGGAAACTAGAGTGTGTTTGTTCTTGGAGAAGGGTTTTGGCCTGCCATGTAGTACCGCCTCTGCTCCTTGCGGGAGAGCCACTTCCCTCCTTTGGAAATGAAACAGGTAAGAAAAAGCCAACTTGAGAAATCTTCAAAGGGAGGACGGCAATGGCGGGTCTGAGGACCTTGCTGCAGATCCAGCCTTGCGACGTGGACTCTTGGCTGTTCTTATTGTGCAACCAAGACAGAGTGTTCTGGCTGATAATTAGCAATTCAGTAAAGTGGTAAGGGGATGATTCTATTAAATCCCTCAGTTGTACTGTGAAATTCGTAGCATTTCAACCATGAGGAGTCAAGGACGGTCATGTTTAACAGCTCGGGAAGCTGAGACCCAGAGGGGCAGAGTGGCTGGATTAGGGTTACAAGGGTTGGCAGGGCCAGAAATGAAAGCCCGGTCTCCTAAAAGGCTGTCCCCAGAGCTCACGCCATTCCTGGGATTCTTAACAAGGACTCAATAGAAGACTTCATGGGGTTTGCACCCTTTGAAATTACAGACAAAAGTTCCTACATGTGCTTTTGAGTAGAGAGTTTGTTTTGTGAAAACCACAAAGAGGTTTGTGAAAAACTAAGAATTGTTCCACTATATGATACCTTCTTTCTAACAATCTGCTAAAATCTTTGTACTTGCGTGATCTTAACCTCTCCTCCCTTTTTAAATTAAAATTTCCATGTAGGCCTCTCTCATCCTCTCTTTTTAGTTAAAATGAAATGGAAGTGTGGCGACATACCCGTCTCTACTGTCTTGACTGTCAGTCTCAACTGAAAAGTCAAGTTGATTCAAGTCCTTTTATACCTCTCTCTCCCAAAATGAACTTGTTGCTTTAATTCCTTGCTGCTCAGGCCATTTTTGGGGATGGAGCAGGGTGGGGCTTTGCACTGATTAGAGTCAACTTTTATTTTTACATTTGTATGTCCAAGACTTATTTTGAGAATTTTTTTTTTTTATTCAGAGATAATTGGCATATAACATCATTATATTATTTTCAGGCATACAGTGAAATGACCAGATATTTATATATATATTGCAAAATTATCACTGTAAGAAATCTCACGAGCTACCCATGGCTCTCAGCACACTATCAATTAATGCAGTCACTGCTCTCTGCGTTATATCCTGTTACTTAACTGATTTTATAACTGAAGATTGGATAATCCATTTTGACAGACGGAGTTGTTCTGTGAAAATGGATTCTGTGTTTGGAGGTAGGATTCTGTAAATAAGACATGTCTTTTAGAAGACGGTTGAAATTGGTAATAAATCCCACAGTCACAGCTATTCAAGGCATTCTTGACCCTTCCTGTCACCCATTATCGCTTACTTTCATTTCGTTTAGTGATGGGAGAGATTTTACCCACTCATTATTTTAGCTTATAATATGATTTATATTACAACATGGATATGATTGTCTGCTGAAAATTAGCCTTAAGCGCAATGTTACTAGTCTCGTCTGAGAAATCTTACCCCCTACAAGGTTCCCTGGAACACCGTGGCCTACGCTCGCTTTCAGGTGGATGCACAGTCACATGCCCCAGGAGTTAGGCATCCTACCCAACATCCTGAGTGAGTGACGGGTAGAGGAGGGGCGAACCCAAATCTCAGGTGCGTAGTTTAGTGGCTACGAGCGAGGGACCGTGTTAGGTGAGTGTTGCTGAGTCCAGTAAGAGAATGTGAGAGCCAGATGCTGCTTGATAGCCCGCACCGCACCCGGTTGTCCATAATGTAACTCTTCTTGTCATTCTCTGAACTAAAGCGATTGAGAGGTCGGGAGAATGGTAGTGAGGCAGACTAGTTTTGAATCTGGGGTCTACCTCTCTGAAACTCTGTGAAACTTGGGTGGTTGCTGAGCTTCTCCAACCCTCTGTGCCTCATTTATAACACGAGAAGAGTCAGTGGGTTGCTTTGAGAAGAGACGGGAAGAAAGCATGTAGAGGCCCCACCCAGTGACTGCTATTATTATTATTTTCCTGCCCTGAGTTTTGCCAAAATGTTGAAGTGTTTTTAGGCAGCATTTGGATGTCCCTTCTTGATGACGAGTTTGGAATTGACTCCCTAGTGTGAGAGAGATGACTTAAAATCAGTTGGGCTCTCAGCTCTGATTTCCATGCTGTGGGCCCGTAGGACAGGGAGCTCTGGTGCCGCGCCACTTATGGCGCTGCCACCTCGCAGGAGGAGTATTTAAGAATTTCAACTCTGTGGAGTGTTGAGATAAAAGTGCTGAAGCATTTCATTTGTCCAGAGGAAGTTTAAAAGAATTTGTCCTCATAACTTCATCTTATTTTCAGCATCAGTTCAACAAATCTTTCTTTCTTGAACGCTGCAGTTTCCTGGCGCCAAGGTTGATATGTCACAGATGATCTTACACTTCAGCCTTGTTAACCTTTCTGTGATGGGACCTTCTCTGCATTTTATAGCTGAAACACAGAGACTTAGATCCACAGTAACTCGCCCAAGGCTGGGTAGAATATGATTGAGCTTTCACCGCATGTCTGTGGGATTCCCAAGCCCTTGTTCTTCCCCCCACAGAGCTTTGATGGAAGAGACTCAGTAAGAAGCCACTGGGAAAACATAGCAGGATGAATAGCAGTTAACCCAGAACGGGCGATAGGCGCTCCGGTTAAGATTTAACCTTGGCTTCCCTGAGGAAAACAAGTCCTCGTATGGTAACTCTACACACATATTACCCATCACGGGCTTTGAAGGTATCATTGGTTTCTCAGCTGCCTTTTTACATTTTGATTCCATAGCAGCTTAATGAGTGTAGAATGGGTGTTGTTATCCCTATTCTGTAATTGAGAAACTGAGGCCAGAGAGGTGAAGTGATAGGTCACAAGGCTGCAGGGTAGCGGAAGCAGAGTCCAGTGGTTTTTCCAGGCCCAGATGACACCTGTGCATGCAGAGCCAGGACCAGCGTGGCCACGCGTGCGCTCACACTCCGATACTGCCATGGCGAGGCTGCTCTTGCAGGCTCTGTGTCTGCAGGTTCTCAGGTCTGCCTGTGGAGGCGCTTGCCCTTGAAGCCCGAGTTCAGGGTCAGGTGGGAGAGTGACTTCCCAAGTGTACATATTTCACAAAGGGCTGCTGTTGAGCAAGATGTTCTGGTAACCCAGCAATTGCCTTTTTAGGGTCCTCTTCAAGCACTTGACAAATGGGTCCACAGGAGCCCCTCTGTTGCTAAACCACTTCGGAGCCTTTGCTTAGGAAAAAGGATGAAGCAAATAAAGACAAAGTTGTCTTTGAACTTCTAGCCCAAATCAGGTTTCTTAGATTTTATATTTCTTTGGCCTGAGGACCTGCCTGCCCGCCCGCCCTGACGTCCCTGTCTTTGTGTTTTGGTGAAGATGAGTCGGTAGGGCTGAGTGGAGACTGCAGAGAGAGAGAAGGGGCTGTCCGTGGCTGGCTGCTGCTGGCATCATGCTCGCTGCTGCCTTGTCCTGTGCGTGTGCTTGCTCTTGAGCCCTCCCTGCAGACGGGCCTGT